AGAAACGTTTCATTTTTTACGAAATCATGAAAACAAATTTGATCTATGTTCATTATTTCATAATTATCAGTTCCAAAAGAATGGTATGCTACAGACATATTACTGTTCGTTCCATTAAACCGTTTATCCTTGTGATAGGAGGCTTTAGGGATGTTCATTATCCATCGTGAACAGACTCAATAAAGCCGAATGTGGAAAGTTTATTGTTTTTGTGGGTTTCCTTGCTTCCAAATGATCACCCCTTTTCCAGATTTTTTACGTGGTTACAGAGACATTATACATCTTAAAAAGTATATTGTTCATTTTGGTCTCGTCGTATAAGTCGTCATAAAAAATAAAACCAACCCATTTCGGTATGTATTTATTTATTTTGTGCACTTTATTGAAATGAACGAGAAGTGTAGCTCTTAAACTGTCTTCAACGTGATGAATTCAATGTTTCTTAATTATAAATCATGTGAAAATGAAAACAAAACAAAGTATGCGCCAATTACATAGTTTTTCATTTGCGTGTTGTGGAAATATGATAGATAATCAACATCGTGCCAAAACATCAATGGCAACATCGTTGTGTTATTGTGTAAAATGATGTCCATATAATTATGTAAAACATGTAACCTCTACTGACGGAAAGTAAATAAGTAACATAAAATGAAAGCATCTTTATGTTTGCGATACAATGTTAATGAACTATCTTTTTCAGTCTGTATATTAGTTTATGACTTTCCGGCTACCCCTTAAAAGTATGAGATCAAAGAAGAATGATAAATATTGATAAAAAAGTAGCGGTGGAAAAGGACTAAACTGCTATTTCAAATTCTAACCTATAATCACATTATTTAACATGGATTAGCAAATGTTTGACATCTAACTTCTACAAAGCTTCACACATATTTCACTTTTTATAAAATGTGCTCTTACTGTATTGTCGTTTTTGTTAGGGGATTTTTCTGTATTCAACAAGAATCAATTTACCCTGAAACAGTTGTCAACATATGCATCAACTTTCTTAAATATACAAAAGGCAATTTGTGTTGAGAGTTATAACAAAACCATTCAAACATACAGCATGTGGTTAGATTTTAAGACTTATAAGCATATGTTCTTTACCGCTTTGAGCTGTAATTCTATATCAAACAAACATACGAATATATGTGCTTATATAATATTAGGTTTACTATTGCTGAACTTGATCTCGATTTTCAGTAATGTTATATCTATGAAGTAATACCTTTTTTAGAAATATGGAAAGTTTAACCTGTCACTGTTAAATTTAACAGTTTGTGTCTGATTTTCAGTAAAGAATATATTAAACGTAATGTTTATCTTTATTTTATTAAATGAAAGAAAACAGTGCCAGATATTAAAAAAATAGTTCTGCATGAATTCAAACAGACACATGACGTAATTTCATAAACATCGTATGTTCAATAAACACAGGGACGGAATGATACTGTTTGCGTCCAAAATTTAATTCAAACACACACATTGTTCTAATGATGCATACCGATAATAAATGATACATTTTATACTTCCGATAACGTTTACCACATGTTACATCCAGTATAGAGTTGACGGGCAAATGATTTTCATTTCTAAATTATGTCAGTTCATGGTAAGAAATATAATTTTAAGGACGTGGTTGATGCATAAAAAGAACAAAATTTTCTTGATAATGTCTCTGTATTATTTTGTTTATGCTACAATCTCATAACACTAAATTTCTTAGTTATAGTACTTTGCTAAATTTACAAAACTTACCCCCAATAGGTATATAGTATGTTTGAGCATATGTGTAGGTATAAAGAAAGAAATTTCGGTTTTTGTATTGTTTCTGTTATATCTTTGTGATACATATTAACGAACGATTGAAATTGATTTGACATAAGCACACACTCTATATTTTGTATCCCCCGCCGATAGAATCGGGAGGGGGATATTGTTTTGACTTTGTCCGTCCGTCCTTCCGTCCGTCCGAATTTCGTTTCCGCGCTAGTTTTCTGCAACTACTGGCTGGAAGTCAACGAACCTTATGAGAATCATCAATACCAAGATCAAATGCGCATATTTTTGCCTTTTACCGGTCACACCTTTCAACTTATAGTTATGGCCCTTAATTAGTTATGCATTATGTATATAGTGCAAACATTATTTCGGTGCGATTTGTCTGCAACTCCTGGCAGGAATTCAATGAAACTTTATTGGAACCTTCAATGCCACGACAAGATGCGCATGTCATGGCCTTGCTCTGGTCTGACTCTTCAGAAAGAGTTATGACCCTTGATTAGTTATGTAATATGCATATAGAGCAATAATCGTTTCCGCGCTATTTCCCTGGACTACTGGCTGGAATTCTACGAAACCGTATGGAAACCATTAATACTAAGGAGATGTGCATATCCTTTCCTTTTTCAGACCCTTAAACACAGAGTTATGACCCTCGATTAGTTATGTAGTATGCGCAAATATATAGCGCAAAATTGCTATTTGCAACTGCTGGATCGATTTCAACAAAACTGTTTGGAATCCATCGATACAAAAAGGCTATTAACATCTCATTTGCATGTCCAGATAATACATTTAACTCGTAGTTAATGCCTCTGTTACTGCCCTTAATTTTTATCATGTACAAAGAAAATTACTGTTTATGTTATGATAAATATATAAATAAAGCCTTATGTCTCGAGTTGTTGTATTAGTAATAACCAGTACTCGGCGGAGGAAATAAATGCAACGAATTTGCTTGATAGTCCTGTTTGGTCATTGTCATGTTTTAGTTTTTGGTGGATACTTAATTTATACTCGATGAATAAGAGATAAAGAGTTCGATTAACAAATATTTGATAAGTAATTCAGTAGCAGATTATTTTTTTATAATTATGAAATGACTTCATTTGATCACAATTATATGTTGTATTCATCTGGACTGACTGTTTTGATAAGGTACTTGTATACAATTAACACCACACATTTGAACGACGGCTGATTTCTATCTCTATTTAATCTGTAGTCCGTGGTCATAATATTTTTCTATAAAATATACTGACATGTTTCATCATTTTTGGATTTTATTTAGATTTCTAATTAATTAGGACATTCTTTTTATTAAACAATATCCAACGAAAATTTGACCAATTGAAGTACAGTTCTAAATTAAATTTGTTTAGCTGTATACAAAACAGTTGGGCAAAATTACCACAGTGCACAAATTAAGAATCAGCGGGATATGTAAATATTCTATTTTTATACCTTATGCTGTTTCATTATACAATAATTATCGATTTAATGAAGCGCATCAATTGAAATATTAATTCAGTTTTATTGTAATAAAGTCTAGAGACAACTGAAATAAAACAAGAGAACTGGTCAACATGAGATTGAATCAGACACAACCGAGAGACGCAACATTAAGAAGTAAGTTTTTATTCTTTTATCATTATAACTATTTTATTATACTCTTTAGCTCTTGAAATTGGCAGCTATATTAAAAACAAATACAGGAATATTCATGTCCTGTACAAACAAAATTAATTATCTTTTAATTAGAACAATCGCATGTTTCAACATGTGTTAAAAATATTTTCCTAATTAATGTCATGTGTTCTTGATTCCATCATGCCCATTACCTTTATAAACCAAAAACATTTGCATTATTCTTGGCTGCTTATTAGTTTTCAATGTGCACATTGTACTTATAAGGGTCTCAAATCATCTGGTATTTTTACTTCTTCTCTTATAAGATATTAACTTGGAAAATTATATTCGTTTCAACGAATGCAGGTCATATTTTAATACTTATTTACTAGTTGATGTTATAGTTTTGAAATACAACTTTTAATGTAAAAATTATTTTAAATAAACTCAATGTAACAAGGCAGTACTCTCACAAATATGAACTTTTAAATTGTTTTAATGTACCTGCTTCAAACAGTCGAGTATTTTTTCCATTAATTCCAAGAAGTGTTTACTAAATAATAACCTTGAATATAATGCATCAAAGTGTATCGTTTTATCCCCTTATAAGAACAGGAGTTTGACAAACGCTGAGCATATGTTGTAAGATTCTTCAGAATTAGTTTCTCATTGATGATTAATAACTTGAGAAACATATTTTCAAGTGCAATAGTGTTTTGTTGCAAATCTATGAATGCATAGGCTTTTAATTCATTATTTGCTTCTTGACTTTAAACCAATTCTTTGTTTCAGAAACATTTCTTTGAATCGGGAAAAAAGAAAGTTATTAAGGAATAATTTGTCTATAAATAAATAATCTTATTTTTAAATATACTTCCTTTGAATGTTTTGTTTATTCAGTTCCTGCTTGAAATAATCCACAAAGGTGCATCTGAATGCTTCCTCTATGAATAAAGTTGGAAAGTCGCTGGTGACGTTTACAGAAACGGATTGACTTACAACGCCAACAACAGGAACACAGAATTAAGAATGTATATTTGCTTTTAATTAAAGAATTTCAATGTTTCATATATCCCAATAACTGAGAAAGACTATTATGCTTTATAAGATGAAGAAGGTTATAAATTCTTAAAGAGTGCATTAACTTTGATATCAGATATGTTGCTAACTCATTGATTTTAATCACAGCAAGTGCATGACTCACATGAATTGATTTGATGTCAGAAAAGGCAATTTATGTTCGGTGAAACGCCTTGCCAAATGACAAATAAATTAATTGTCCAAATGACAAATAAATTAATTGTATAAATAATGCTTTGATGCCTGCTGTATTTCTCTTCAAATAACGCTCATACCATACTCCTCGTATTATTATGTAAGTATAATAGAAGCAGTTTTTGTCTCTCAGTTTTCCTATAATCATGATTTTCTAGTACTTTAGGAGACATGTACATAAATAATTATACAAATGTATTTAATTAAATATTTCTTGTAATCCGTAAAGTAACAATTTCTTATCTCTTAGGAAAAGGCTTTTCTGATTCTTTTAGTAAAATAAACTCAAAGTTTACAACAATGAATTATTTTATATCACAAGGAACATATCAAAATTTCATATCATGAGGTATCATATGTTCTCATCACGGAAGCATTTCTGGAAAACGATGAATTAAAACAGTCCTCAAAATTATTGGCCTCATAGCTTCTTTGACTTTGATAGTTTAATCTCTGTGCAGGTCTCTTTGTGTTAAAGTTCAATTTATATCTCTCTGCCGGATACTTAAGTTTTACGGCTCCGTGTCGTGCTGTTTCCGCTCTTGTTCGAGGAATATAAGTTGTTTTAAATCCGCCTGAAAGAGAACAAAAGACCATGACTGCAGACAAATTAGTTTGAGCAAAATGTATTTAGTTTAATATTGTTTAGCATTTTTTGGAATACAGTAATTGTATATACAAAAAAAGATGTACAGTTTCAGTTACTTGTTAATTTTTATCAATCAATCAATTAATTGTAATTAATCCCAAGACTAAACATTGTTTTTATTTACATATTTATAAGATTACACGTGGTAAACATAAGTTTTTAAAATCAACAACTTACTCTAAAACTGTCGTTGAGTGTTCCATATACGATTGGATTGACAAAGCTGTTAGACATTGCTATCAAGTGACATATAAAGTAGGTAAGGCTAAGAGAGTCGTGGTCCAGTTTTTCTGTAAAGTTTAGCACCTGAAAAAAGGTATGAAGTGGAAGCCAGCAGAGAACGAATAACACAACAATTGTGATCAACATCTTTACGATCTGAAATTATAAATCATGCCAAGCTTTAAATATAGTTATTGCTGCATGTTAAGTTAAAGAATAATCTAATTTATAATTCCTGAATAGAAGTCATTTTCTTATCATATTATATAACTTTTGTTCTTGACATGTTTGACATAATTATATAAATTTCAGGTATAAATTGGATAGACATTCAAAGCCTTGTATAATTAACTTAAGAAACAAGTTATAAATTGCAACTTATGCTAATTAGATATAAAAAGTCATGTCAATAATTCTTGTTCATTTATATTTTTTACTATTTAATTTGATACATCTGTTTATCTTGTTGTTTTAACCATTTTAAATACTAGTATTTTAACGATTTTTGACAAAACTTATAAATGCATTGACAGGATGATTAAATTTGAGTTGCTGCTAAGTGCGATAATGAGATAGAATAAAATAAACAAATTAATACGATTATAAAACAATTTAAAAGAAATTCCTGATACAAGTGATAAAAGATTTAATCAACAAATACAATAATAGGATAGTTAAAATGATCATTAAAATGGGCAGAATTTACGTGCTTTATATATTTGCGCAAACTAATCAAGTATACATCTGTTGAATCGACAAATTGGTATAATACAGGAAGCCTGTGGTTGCAAATAAAGATAACAAAATGATTTCTTTTACTTGAATTTTTTGTTAATTAATATTTATAAGCAAAAACGTGTGTTGAAGATTTCAAGTAAGGCCATGACCATGAGCAAATTATGCCAGTGACCACTTTTATTATAGCTGAAGTATGTGCGAATTAATATATCAATGGTATTGTTCTTTTTCACAGGTACATTTTACTAAAATCTCTACCTTCCTTAGCCAAAACTGACCTCCCTGTTACACGACATTATATATCATTATTGAACTGTTATTTAGCAATAGAACTAAGTGTTTTAACAGAATGACATCAGTCAAGAGCATGTAGTAATATAAACGCAATAATTGAAAGACAACAGAGCATCTTTTAGGACCAAATGTAACGATCAGGCATATCAGTATTTTTATCCATGAAGACGATTTCTTTTCTAAAAAAGCAAGTCATACTATCTCGATTAACACAAAGTCCAAAAATGATTTAATATACAAATTCGAAATTGCCCTATCTAAATACAAAATTAAAACGATACAATTTTTTACACATGATAACATTTTTCCGGATATCACAGATCTATCAATGCATGCACAATGGGTATAATTTGTCTAACGGTCAAAATGATGTAGAGATAATATGTGAATTGTCTGAAGTCTCCATCTTTTAATAATAATGTAACCTATGGGTAATTTTAGCTTTATTGGCTGTTGAAAATGTAAAACAGGACATAGAACAAAATTCTACCCTTACCAAAGGAACTCTGGAACAGGACCGCATATTGCGGCGCATAAATCCGAATCCGTACCGGCTTTAGACCTTTGAATATCTTTTCATATTATGCGAGTGGGTGGTCTTAAATTAAAAATTAAATAATCTTAATTTAATGTAATCTGCTAATTTAATCAGTCAAATTTACGGCATATTGAAAAAAGAAAAGGAGTGGCATCCGCCATTTACCGCAACGTTCGGCGTAAGTTATCCCCCTTGATATGCTTTATTTTTTGTTTTAATTTTTCTAGTTCTCATTTTATGTTACTGAATACATGGAAAACTTTCACATTCACTTGTCTATGTTAACAAATCAAAACACTAATACGCCCGTAACAATGCCGCCTATACACATCAACACGTGTAAACAATGAACCGTGAAAGTTAAATTCCGACGATACCTGATAGTTGACAACGATAATGGGAACAAAATTCTAAAAAAATAGTAATGAATTGTAGCCAAAGGTGAAAAACTCATGCCGAACGTTGCGGCAAATGGCAGATGTCATTCCTTGTTTTTTTATAATACCGTACAATTTCACCAGTTTTTAAAGAAACAGATTGGATTCAACTGATAATATATTTTTGAGGCCATATACTCGGTTAATACTAAAAGATATTTAGATGTAGCAGAAACGTTTTTAAAAGCCGTTACACGGCCGCAATCTGCGATCCCGTTCTCAAGTTCCTTTGACCCTTACTTGTCCTTTGGATCTGAGGTAAACATTAATTCTTTATGGAAAATAAGATTCAATTATACCTTAGTTAATTGCCTTTTGCTCACTTAACTATCTTTGTTCATTAGTATTTTAGACCCGTGTTTCGAAAGATAGAATTCAGAAAAATGAGTGACACACCCGTAATGATGAAATTTTTCTAGAAGTTAAATGCTGGATAAGAAGCATGCAAATCTTTGGAAACTTCATGTAATTAATTTTTGTACAATTAAACATCAAATGCACCGTTAAATTATATTACAAAAATAAAATATGTTTCCCGTATGTAAAACAATACAATAATTTCTAGGTAGGTAGGTAGGTAGGTAAGTAAGCAGGCTAGCAGGTAAGTAAATTTTATTATAGTGACATTATGCTATGTACAAGTAGGTAGGTAGGTAAAGGTAAGTAAGTTAGTAAGCAGGCAAGCAGGTAAGTAAATTTTATTATAGTGACATTATGCTATGTACAATATTATAAACATACATATAACAAATTACAAAACCGGCCACGTTTGGGCTATACGTCACTTTAAGCTATATACAAATATATATAAACATGTACCCTACTTGACAATACATTGCACTTAAAGTACATTGATCTTCTATTGGTACATATTTCATATGTATTTTACATATTGATGAAAGCAATAAAAAATCACTTGTATGATATTTAAATATTTTTGAAAATAATATGAATATGATGACAAATAAGATTTTGATCTAGTATAATTTATCATTTGCTATAATACATAAATATGTAATATCGGATTATGTATCTGAAACTTCCCAACAACATTCGAATACAGACATTTTTTGGTTTGTTATCATGTAAGCTACTCAATACTTTTAACATCAACATTATTATTTGTGGTATTACATACCTTCCATTATGGACAAGTTCACTTTAATCTGATTGTCTAATTCCTCATGCGTTAAATTAATGTAAGTATTATAAAATGCATTAGTGTTACAAGTACAATATATAATGGGATACAGAAAAAGTGTATCAAATGACGTATGACACGTGTCATTTTTGATTTTACATTTGCATTTCATTATGCATTCACAGTATGTTCTTATTAACCTTGACGTTTGAAAACATCATTTTTCTTTTTCAGCAGATGTCTCAAGAAATGGATAGCAGTTTTGTTTCTATTTTAGACCAGTAATTATATATAAAGTACATTGTTGGAACTTTAGTTCCTTCAAATTATACGCGTAACTTAAAAAGAACGCTGGTAATATTTCAGTAATAGAAACGAGAATGGTAGTTACCAGTTTTCATAGACATTTAATAAAAGAAGTCGCACCAGATTATTTCACCATTTAACAATAACAAATACCGTTGTTTACCTTTGATAATTATTAAGTTAATAGATTTCTTCCAATTTTAAGCATCATTAATTCAAATTAATCGAAATTTTATTACGCTTTTTTTATTTTATATGTTATAATAAGTATTTAATATCCTAATTGCTCAAGAATTATGGTAAATTAATCTGCCGATCATTTGAAAATGTTTGAAATAAAAAAAGATCATTTTTACTAAATTGACCGTATGTCCTGTATATTCGTGCTTGTAAACAGCAAGTTTCAACTACAAATTCTGGAGAAATGTGCAACATTTGTAGGAAATATTCAAAAACATGCAAACTTGACTTCTGTTGATTAAGGAGATGTTAATTACATGAATTTGCAAATGCTTTTCAAAACTATCCGAAATGAGAAATAAAATTTGTAAACAAATCAGCATTCCTTAAAGAAGTGGTTTCTTTATCTTTCTAGAGCACGTTACTTTGGCCTGAAGTCGATTGCTGTCTTTTTGATATCAAAGAAAAAAATATAATTTCGAATCAATAGAAAACAGAAATTAATGAATTAATTTATGAAGGTAAACGCGCACATCTTTCCATGATGCCATTCATAAACTAAATTTCATTCCGAGGGATCACTCATTTTTCAGTATTTGTATGTTTTCGATTGTTTAAAACAATATTACTATTTTAGTACTAAATATATAAAGCCTAGATACAAAAGAAAACATTCATATCATTTTTTCTTTACAAAGTTGATTTGAAAATATGCTTCTATATAGCTAGCAGTAGATTTGAACTTTAAAACTAAATAAGAAGAAACAAACTTTTTCCTAATTTCTCAGGTACCTTACTATCAGATTGATATGAACGATGTATATGTAAACCTAACTATATATTGCAAGCAAGTCAGAACTTAAATGCATGTGTTTTATTTATATTTTTATTTAACATTTACTGACAATGAATGATGAAAACAGTAAATTGCATTTCTTTTTTACCAATCTTTAGAACCGTGAAAAGAAAAAAGCTTATTATCAACAATTACATGTACAATATTCTTTTAATTGTCGTCGAGTCTGCTTTGTTGAGGTAATTTTCGTCAGTACAAATATTCTTATATTTGATCTTTGAGACTGTTACAAAAGATTTAGACCTTCTACCAGACAATCGTTTGTACAGTTGTCTTAAATAGGATTAAAATGCTTTAATTTCTTTTTCTGCAGTTGCTGTCTGACAAAAGTGTAAACTTAAATTTAATCTTCAATCATTTCCTGTTCTTACTTTACATTCCCTTTTTGTGTGTACAAATAATGATAAAATCACGTCATTAACAAACACATAAAAGGAGCACTCACTTCTTCCAATCTGACAAGCACAAGTATATTTTTTAACCTTTATTGGCCACTGATTATACATGTAAGTTCAGAGCTATGAGTTTTAGTCGGGTTTACATTTCTACTTAAGAGGTTTTTTGAAAAATCAGATTTTTTGTTGTCTTTGTTTTCTTTCAAGTTTGGTCTTTTCATTGATGTTCTTCCATAATGCATATGTTAGTATGTATTCAAGATTAAACGTATTTCAAAACATTTTTTTATATTGATAAACTTCAGTTATCTGTAAATTTCAAAGTTTTAAATATAGTTGATACTGCACTAAAGATTCAAATGAAAATTTCACCATTTCTATACTAAAATGTAGAATTCAGCCTAAGTCAGTGCTACGGGACACTTGGACGGTAGCTTGCACATTCCAGTACTGTAAATGAACAGGATTAATCAAACCGAGCCTTTAGCATTTTTAATTTTGTTATTTTTTTTTTTTTCTGCGTTCTTAAGGTATTTTATTTTTCTCTATTTCAAAACGAAATATCGGCATACATGAAGTAAACAACCACAAACGTAATCAAAGTGACTTTTTGCAAATAAGAAATTTTTGTTCAATTTAATTGTTGTCATATTAGACAGGAATCTCACAGAAATCTGACATATCTGATGTCTGCTTATTTATAATCCATATACTATCAGTAAAACTACTGTATCAGAAGGTTTTGGGATCAGATTATATAGTTTTTTACCGATAAAATGATTCTACCACACATAGACTTCTTTTTTTGTGAAATGATTAAAAGTACTCGTGATGCAATATCTAGTTTTGTTTTACTTAAAAGTTACTTAAAGAGTCTAAAAATGCTGTTAATTTTATTTTTGCAAAATCTGTCGTTGCAAAAAATGTATCTGGTTACAGTTTTCAAAGGGTTACTCATTAGCCATATAGCTGAACAAATGCTTTCTTAATTTGCATTTTTAGAAAATAAAGTGATATAATTGTATTTTGTATTGGAGTCAAAAATACCACTTTGTTTACATTTTTGTATCTTTATAACGAACTATTCTACGTTCAGCGCTATTTTCTTCATGTGATAAGAAGAAGCATTTTAAAAACCTAAAGTGTTCTAAATCGATTATTACAACATCGTTCAACATGACTGTGTCAATTCTATTTAAATGAAAATGTATTTATTTCTGAGGCTTAATGTGCTTTTGAAAAACTATAGTAAAACAGATAATCATTTACAAAACAACAACTTCCACGACCTTTTAATCTACATATAGAGATAAAAACATAATTATACCATTTATAATTTTGTCAGATTTGAGATTCACATAAAATGACGTAAACAAGCATTTTGTAATTTTGATGAAAAAAATGTACTATTTTATGAAATAGAATTTAATGAGATAATGGCGATCCATATGATTGCCTGGGTAATATCAAAGTTTTAATGAGATAATAATGATTTGATTTCCATCATTAGTTAAACCTCAGTTGTAACAGGAGATATAGAGATCAATCTTATTTGTAAGTACGTGTATATATTTTGTTATTTGCCACACCTGTATCTTTTGGATAGGCACATAACTCGACAAGTATTCCGGTGATGCAACTTTATCAGTCTAAAAGATCTACCGCAAACCGTAAAAGTTTTCCCTGCTTATCTTTTGATGTTCACATTAATATCTTAATATGTATTTACAACAAGAAGTGCAAAGTCAAATACACTTGTCAATTGTTTAATTTGCAATGTGCTTTTTCTGTACGTTGAAAGTTTCCTTTGAAAGAACAAATTCATTTCCAATTATCGTTAAGCCATCTGCTGTCAATTTGCACCATGTTATAATCTTTGACGTAAACAATTTATAAATGTACATTCTAACAGGATAGATAACTTTAATGACTTGACATATACCATAATACTGTTTCGTGTTTAATTTCAAGCAGTATTCATATTTACACTGAATAATAATGTTTTTTTTTAACATGTGGCTTTTTAGTAAGTTATGTTCAAAAACATTTCTGTTTACATGTACTAACTCTTCTTGTAATAATTCATTCTACACTTGAATAGATTGTCATTCATTTCCAGACTTTTTATATTACTCAAATGATCAATATAAGAGTGCTCGAATATGTCACAGTATGATACATTTAGTACCAGAGTATGTCCCGGTTTTTCAAACATTACATAATACGTTCTAACTGTAATCTATTTATAAAATTATGTATAGTTTCAAGATGGCGTTTGGTATGCTGACAATAATGCAAATAAATGACACAAGATAAATTTCGCAGCGGGGAGATGCCTTATTGCGGAGGTAAATTGGCTATTTTGTTAACATAAGGAAATACCTAAAAGTCTGAGGAATTGTATAAAATCATCTACTTAGGTATGGATAATAAAATCTACTATTATCAATATGTTTTGTTCATTTTCAAGATTCGAAATAATGAAGGTACAAATCATAAATGATGATGCTGATAACGTGACACAGATTTCGGTTGGGAAAATAAATCAAGCATTTAATCCGTTCAAATGGGAAAAAAACACCATTTTTATTTTATTATTTCCTTAATCGTAACAACATTTTCTCATTATAGTAGCATCAAGCATTATGTTTTGCTTTAAATGTAATTACGTTTGTTTTTATGAAACTCTGCCTTTTAATATCAATTACAAATATTCCTTCATTGACAAAATTCAATTAAGAAACTCAAATCAAGTTAATGTGTCCATAAAAAAGCAATAAATTTTTATGGCGCGCATTTTTATAATAAAGCCTCTGGGACAGTAATGTTAAACATGACAAATATGTTTTTTAAACGCTTTTGTGATATAGTTTCTGCAATGCATTTGTTTTATCATATAACATTACTTTCCAATTGATAGATTCTGCCTCATGCATTATCTCAACCGGGGCAAACATAACAAAGCTAAATATTTCTATCTTGTAATGCTTCCGTGTTGAGAACATATGATACCTCATGATATAAAATTTGGTTTGTTCCTTGTGATATCAAATAAATTCATTGTTGTTAACTTTAAGTTTATTTTACTATAAGCATCTGGATATCTTTTTCAAACCGTTGAATATGAAATAACATTAAGACATGATTTATAAATTGCAAGAGAAAGTTAATTAAATACATTTGTATAATTATTAATATATCTGTCTCCTAAAATAATAGAAAAAAACCTAGCATGTTTGTATATGATAATGATAGGAAAATTGAGAGACAAATACTATGTTTTAACTATACTTACATAATAATACTGAGAGCATGGTATGAATGTGATTTGAAATGAAATGCAGCAGGGATCAAAACATTCTTTATACAATTCTTTATACAATTAATTTATATGTCATTTGGCAATGCGTTTCACCGAACATAAATTGCCTCTTCTGACATCAAATCAATTCATGTGACAAATGCACTTGCTGTGATTAAAATCAATGATTTAGAAACATAGCTTCGTTAATAGTTAATGCACTTTGTGAGAATTTATTACTTTCTTCATACAACAAAGCATGATAGGTCTTTCTAAGTAACTGTGATTTGAGAAATATAGTTGAAATACTTTAATTTTAAAGCAAGGTATAAATTCTAAATTAACAAATGTTTGTTTGTGTTGTTGGCTTTATAAGTCACTCCGTTTCTGTAAAATAGAGAACAGAATCCCTAAAGTCAACCAGCCACTTTCCAACTTAACTTATAGAGGAAGCTATCAGATGCCATATCCTTTGTCGATTATTTCAAGCAGAAACCGAATAAACAAAACATTCAAAGTATTTATCAGTAGAAAAAATTATCACTTAATAACCCGTTTCTTTTTTCTGATAAAAAAAAGTTTCTGAAACAAAGAATTGATTTAAAGTCAAGAAGCAAAAAACGAATTAAAAGCCTATGCACTTATAGATTTGCAACAAAACATATTGCACTTGAAAATATGTTTCTCGAGTTATTAATCATCAATATGAAACTAATTCTGAAGAATCTTACAACATATGTTCAGCGTTTGTCAATATGCTGTTCTTTTAAGGGGATAAAACGTTACACTTTGAGTTATTACATTCAATGTTATTTTTAGTTAACACTTCTTGGAATTGAAAAAAAAAATACTCGAATGTTTGAAGCAAGTACATTTAAACAATTTAAGAGTGCATATTTATGAAAGTACTGCATTATGACTTGCATTCGTTCAAACGAATATATTTATTCAAGTTTAAATCTGATAAGAGAAGAAGATGTAAAACTACCTGATGGTTTTAGACCCTTTTAAGAACAATGTTCACTTTTAGAAACTAATAAGCAGTCAAAAATAATTTGCATATTTTTGGTTTATAAAGGTTACAGGCATGATTGAAGCAAGAACACAAACATGACATTAATTGGGAAAATATTTTTAACACATGTTGAAACATGCGGTTGTTCTATTTATAAGATAATTAATTTTGTTTGTTAACAATATGAATATTCCTGTGATATTTTTAATCTGGCTGCCAATTTCAAGAGATAAAGAGTATAATAAAATAGTTATAATGATAAAAGAATAAAAACTTACTTCTTAATGTTGCGTCTCTCTAATTGTTGTGTCTGATTCAAACTCATGTTGACCATTTCTTTTGTTTTTGTTCAGTTGTCTCTAGTCTTTATTACTATAAAAAGTTAATTAATGTTTCAATTTATGTGCTTCATTAAATCGAAAATCATTTTATAATAAACTATAATGGCATATTTCTGCCACCAGATAACCATATAACTAACTAGTTAATTGAGAGGTTAACTAGTTACGTTACTAGTTAACAAGTTACCAGCTAGCAATATTTTGCATAAATGGTAAGTGATTAACTAACGTAACTAGTTAACTACATAACTAACTAGTTTTTCAAGTGATTAACTAGTTACGTGACTAGTTAACCAGTTATCACTTACCTAAAAATAGAAATTTAGCAAAGAAATTAAACTTGGAACTTTAGTGTTATGAGATTGTCGCTTAAACAGAATAATACAGAGAAATTATCAAGAGAACTTTGTATTTCTTTAAAAATCACTTCCTTACCCTAAACTGATATAATTTAGAAATGAAAAGCATTTGCCTTATCCGCCCATCCAGTATTGGATTTAACATGTGGTTAACATTATCGGAAGTATAAAATGTATCATTTATTTTTGGTATGCATCATTAGAACAATGTGTGTGTTGAAATTAAAGTTTGGACGCAAACAGTATCCTTCCGTCCCTGTGTTTATTGAGCATACGGTGTTTATGAAACTACGTCATGTATCTGTTTGAATTCATGCAGAACTATTTTTTTAATATCTGGCAATGTTTTCTTTCATTTAATAAGATAAAGATAAACATTACGTTTAATACGTTCTTTACTGAAAACCAGCCAATACCTGTTTTATTTAATAGTGACAGTTTAAACTATACATATTTCTAAAAAAAGCGTATTACTTAATAGATATAAAATTACTTCAAATCGAGATGAATTTCAGCAATAGTAAACCTAATATAAGCCCATATATTTGTTTGTTTGAGCTCATAGCAAAATCGTTAAAGACTCATAGTCGAAAACATATGCTTTTAAAATCTAACCACATGCTGCATATTTGAATGGTTTTGTTATAACCTTAAGCACAAATTGCCTTTTGCATATATCAGAATGTTGATGTATATGTTGACAACTGTTACAAGGTTAATTGATTCTTGTTGAATACAAAAAAACGACAGTACAGTAAGAGCACATTTTATAAAAGGAAAGTCTGTGTAAAACATTCAAGCTTTGTAGAAGTTAGATGTCAAACATTTCCTTAATCCATGTTAAACAAGCAATTATCATAATATTGCAAGCAATCCATAAGTCCCCTACCGGTTAGAACCCCAGCAATATTCTGATGGGCCATTGGCCATTCAATTTTACCAGTGAATGAATGACATGAATGTACTAAAATCTTATGAGTTCTAAGTTTGTCTATATCACAGTAATGTGTTAAGTTTCCCTGCCTAGTAAGGAAATTATGTTTATTCAACCTTGTCATATTATTACCATGTGGGATTTTAAAGTAAATTCTATAAGGAATGAAAAAGTTGGAGTGAAAAGTACCAATTTCTCGAAAAAAATCTAAGTTCAAGGGGGACATAATTTTGGAAATAGTCTTGCTAGAGTATTTAACTTCTCAAAAATGTTGAGTGATAATAAGAAACATATATATGAAGTTTGAAGTAGATACATTAGGAAATAAAGAAGTTCTTTAAAAAAAGACAACATTTTTTTTCATAAAATTTCTAAGTTCAAGGGAGGTAATACTGATAATCTTTGTGCTAGAGTTGTAAACCTTGTCACGTATGATGTGGTTGCTGACCATAAACTTATATTTAAAGTTTGATGTAAACACCTTAAGAAATAAAGAACTTATAGTGAACAAGCATTTGATAGTATTGCGGGCAATACAGTAGTCCCCTACCGGTCCCTCAAAAAGTTCTTTAATTGTCATACACTCCTGTGTATTGCCATTTATAATGAATTTGAGGATGAAGTCTGTATTTGAAAATATCGACCACAAAACATAATAAAATAAGTTTGTCTATATCACAGTAATGTGTTAAGTTTCCATGCTTAGTAAGGGAATTATGTTTATACAACCTTGTCATATTATTACGATGTGGGATTTTAAAGTAAATCCTATAAGGAATGAAGAAGTTGGAGTGAAAATACCAGTTTCTCGAAAAAAATCTAAGTTCAAGGGGGCCATAATTCTGGAAATAGTCTTGCTAGAGTATTTAACCTTCTCAAAAATGTCGAGTGATAATAAGAAACATATACATGAAGTTTGAAGTAGATACATTAGGAAATAAAGAAGTTATTTAAAAAAGACAACATTTTTTCCCCTAAAAAATCTTAGTTCAAGGGAGGTAATATTGATATTTTTTGTGCTAGAGTTATAAACCTTGTCACATATGATGTGGTTGATGACCAGGAACTTATATTTAAAGTTTGAAGTAAACACCTTAAGAAATAAAGAACATATAGTGAAAAAGCTGAAAAATTTAAATAAGAAATCTTGAAATTCAGGCTATTTGTTGCCATAGCAACCAGAATTTTCAACATAGGAAGAAAAGAAAAAGATGTGCATAATCTCAAGACTGCCATCTACCCATATTTCAAGTTTCATAAAAATATTTTCAGTACTTTTTGAGTTATCACTGGATCCAGTTTATGTGTAAAATTTGCCATATTTTCAGACTATTTGTTGCCATAGCAACCAGAATTTTCAACATAGGAAGAAAAAAAAAAGACGTGCATAATCTCCATACTGCCATCTATCCATATATCAAGTTTCATAAAAATATTTTCAGTACTTTTTGCGTTATCGCGGGATCCAGTTTTGTGGACGGACGGACTGACGGACTGACAGACTGACAGACGGACGGACAGACAGACAGACAGACGGACAGACGGACGGAGGGTAAACCTAAAGTCCCCTCCGGTTAAACCGGTAGGGGACTAAAAAGCTGAAAAATTTAAGTTAGAAATCTTGAAATTCAGGCTATTTGTTGCCATAGCAACCAGAATTTTCAAAATAGGAAGAAAATAAAAAGTTGTGCATAATCTCCAGACTGCCATCTACCCATATTTTAAGTTTCATAAAAATATTTTCAGTACTTTTTGAGTTATCACTGGATCCAGTTTATGTGTTAAATTTGCCATATTTTCATATTATCGCGGGATCTAGTTTTGTGGACGGACGGACTGACGGACGGACAGACGGACGGACGGACGGACAGACGGACGGAGGGTAAACCTAAAGTCCCCTCCGGTTAAACCGGTAGGGGACTACTTATGTGATTACAGTTTAACATTCAAAATTGCAGTTTAGTCCTATTTCACTGCTGCTTTTTCGCCAATAATTTTCATTCTTCTTTGATCTCATACTTTTGAAGGGAAGCTGGAAAGTAAGCAACTAATATACAGACTGAAAACGATGTTGGCGTTCTTATATCAATAAAAGTTCAAACATAAAATAGTTCATTAACATTGAAACGCAAACATAAAGATGTTTTCATTTTATGTTACTCATTTACTTATCGTTAGAAGAGGTAACATGTTTATCATATATGAACATCATTTTACATCTTAACACAACAATGTTGCCAATGATGTTTTCGCACGGTGTTAATATTCTATCATATTTCCACAACACAGACCTATGTGAGTGGCGCATACTTTGTTTTGTTTTCATTTTAACATGATTGATAATTATTAAACATTTAATTCATGAAGTTAAAAACCGTTTCAGAGCTACAGTTCTCGTTCATTTAAATACAATTTTTAATACAGAAAATTACTAAATCAAAAAAATTTATTTTTTATTTTTATGACGATGAATTCGACGAGAAAAAAGGAAAAAAGCACTTATAAAGATGCAAACAGTCTCTGTAACATCGTCAAAAATCTGCTAAAAGGGTTGATCACACGGAAGCAAGGAAACCCCCCCCCCCCCCCAAAAAAAAAAATGTAGACAGGGTTTATTTGATTCTATTCATGAGGGATAATGAAACAGCTCTTAAGCCACCTAGCACCGGGATAAACGGTATAAGACCACGAACAGACCTTGTCATGTCTGTAGCATACCATTCTTTTGGAATTGATGAATATAAAATGATGATCATAGATCACCTTTTGTTTTCATGATTTCGTAAAAATTACTTCTCCCTCAATGAAACGTTTCTGAAGTGTGAATAATAGGCCAACAATATGCAATATAAGATAATGTATCTACATTAAGTATTTGTGAAAAAAGTTGCCCGTCCTTCATCTCAGTTTAGTTGATATTATCCTTCTCCTTCTGGAGCATTGATTCCGATAGTTTTAGCTTTGAGGATTAAATACCGCTATACGTCAGTGCTAGAGGAGTGGGACAAGTTGCACGTTTACATCTTTAATACATTGACACAGTTAAACTTAACAATTTGGTTTTGTTCAATTTTTCTCAAGGGATCTCAACTTTCTACAATTCCGTTATGTACGTGTTCATTAATTATGAATATTCCATTTATAAAATATTAAGTACTTTAAAGCAGACAAACCAACAAGTAAATTTTGGACCATTGATTGCCTTCCACACTAAGTATTTAATTGCTACTTTCTTAATGTAGATAAATTTGATTGACACGAAAAGAACACAAATGAAGTGTTAAGCTCGTGTAAAATGGCTGCGAATAAATGGACGGACAGCTGTGCACTGTATACCGAATACAATGCTGCTGGAACGAATGTGTGTTTAGGTATACGCAGTTGTTGAAACTAAAGAGGAAGCGTTACGACATGTAATTCCATTACTAGTAGTACTCTTTTTATACTGTGCCAAGAAAATGTTAATAAAATATGTAATGCAACAAAACAAGACATTTGAAATATCTAATGCTGATGTATGTGAAAAATGTTTTTATGTACATGTACATTATTGACAACTCGCAAAATAGATCGTGTCATTCCGCATTAAATCAGGCGTCTTGTTCAAAATCATATAAGACTCGGCTGCAAATAATCCGAGCTCATACTTCATTTCAGAGGAGAGCCATTCAAAAGTGAACGCATTAAAATCCGATGAATAATAAATAGGACATACGATTTGCATTATTTTATTTCAGTTCAAGTCTCCAAACATGACAAGCATATTTATGTCTGTTGTGAACCAGAAAGTATGGTAGAAGTAGCAAAATTGAAGAACTGCAGTCAGATAATATGTAAGAAAATGCAGTTAAAAAGTTAACTGCCTTAGATCAACCTACTCGTAGTTCCTACAACGATACTCTAGATATCACAAAAAAGTAAATACAAATTTAAGGCGTAATAAAGTCCAAGTATATGTATCCAATCGCGTTATATCTTCAGACTTATATCTGAGTATACCCTCCGTTAATTTGCTACGTAGATTGTCAGGCACGAAAGCGCACCGGGATAGAAAAAATAAACCTCAACTTCTTGCTAATTGAATAGCACTCTGATCCCGATACACAAGAACCTGCTAACTAAAAAGAAAGAAACCATTCTTTTATTCAATGTAAAAAGGGAAACAGGAGTAAAATGTGCATTTTTTAATGATGCATACAGTTTATCAAACAAGTTATATGCCAAA